GTCCTCTTTCCCCAGTTCCATTACTGCTCTCCATAGCTTTCCTCTCAAGGCTAGGAGCCTCACCACTTATCCTTTCCCCTGCAATGCAACTCGACTCTTCTAAATCTCCACTCCCCAAACTTCAGGGATCAGACAGCCTTTAAACCAAGCAATTCTTGCATTTCTGGTATCACCCCTGCCCCCTCGTTCGCTCCTTCACTGTTTTCCCCAGATCCCTCAGCAGACTCTTTCTTCCCTAATACTCTGACCTTGTGTCTGCCTACCACTCCGCTTGCTGACTCCATCTACGTGAAACTCCTCCTCTTTCCCTCCCTCTCTCCCATCTCTTTTCCATGGAGGCTATGATCCATCCAAAGCCCAGAGCCGACGGCCTCTCTGTTACTGCCCCTTCCCTCATTGCAATCAACCACTCTCAGCCTCCACGGATCTACACAGCGCCATCTCTGTTCCACCTCTGACTAAGTAGAGCTCTGGGACGCTCTGTGTCTAAAACTCACATGTGCCAAGGTCCGTAGGGATCCCTCCCTCTTCAGAGACTCCCTGATTCACGACAGGCGGCTCCTCATATTTTGTCCACAAGCTCTCACTGGGAGTAGAAACGGGAGATCCTATTCACGGGGGAGAGAATTACATGTTGTTTTACTAACATCCACTGGGTGCTTTAGAGAAGATTTCAGGAGAGAGGTCAACATCAGATTAGAACCAGGGCTAGCTAGAAAAGGCAAAAAGGCCGGAGGATAAGAAAAACATTGACAAAACTCAGCAGCAGAGCTACACAGGAAAGACTCAGGCAGACTGCCCCAGGTTTCAACATCTCTCACGCTGTTTATGAGGAGTTTTAATTGATTACTCACCCAGGCCGGGATCTGCAGGGATCTGTCTTTCTTCAGAGTCACTCTGATCTCCCACACTGGGCTCCTCCCCTCGTTCAATGCGGGACAGGAGGTCGGGTTTGGAAATGGCAGCGTCTGTATATGGAAATGGATAATTGGGGGCAGAAAGTTTTATTCATACTCTGAGTGCAGGTCAGAATACACACAGACCCTTAAAATCACTGCCGGCTACACCCTTTCGCTGCGAGGGGTGACGGGAACAGGGGCTAAAGATGCTCACACCCACCGTCTGAGCAATCACACTCAACCGCCCGTGGCTCGCTCTGCCTGGCTCAGGCACCAGGAGCGTTCCCAGGAGTGCTGCAGAGGCACGCACCCTGCAGCATGGGGAGGAGAGTAGGAAGATTTATCTGTGCTTACCTGAACATTTCCTTTCTTCGAGTAACAAGGTTACCAGATTCATCACAACGGGTACTAGAGCCTACTTGCAGCTAGGGGGCAGAAGCGGCCCGGTCAGTCACTGGTGACAGGGGAATGCCCTGCGCCATGCAGTTCCCTCCAGTTGAGGTAACTTCCACAGCCAGGATAATTCCATTCTATTTCCTAAGTTCTAGACTGCGGTAACTGTACCTCGAGGAAAAGGCACAACAATCTCTCCTACTGCAGAGCACAGTAAATTCCACCTAACAACAAACGCAAATCCCTGGAGGTCAATTTCCATCTCCATTCTGGAGGACGCATTTGTCTCCTAGGAGGCCGGATCTGTGGATCGTATTACTCAAAGAATTGCTCAATCTAGGAGTTTCCTTTCAAGGCCAGAAAGGACCATTCTGATCATCCAGGCTGACGCCCCAGGCCAGAGAACCTCCCCTAAATAATCCCGAGAGCAGAGCTTTTAGAAAATAGCCAATCCCAAGTTAAAAATTGCCCGTGATGGAGAATCCACCATGACCCTTGGTAAATTGTTCCAGTGGTTCATTATTAACAATATTTAATAATTTGTCCATTATTAAATATTTCCCCCCCATGTAGATACTTGTAGACTGTAATCAAGTCACCCTTTATCCTTCTCTTTCTTAAGCTAAATAGACTGAGCTCCTTGAGTCTACCACTCTCAGGCAGATTTTCTAATCCTTTAATCCTTCCCGTGACTCTTCTCTGACCCCTCTCCAAGTGATCACCATCCCTCTTGAACAGTGGGCACCAGAACGGGACACAGGAGTCCAGCAGCATTGCATCAGTACCAAATAGAGAGGTAAATAACTCATGATTCCCCTGTTTATGCATCCCAGGAAACCTATGTGAACGATGGGAATGTCACAATTTCCACCCACCCCTCCTCCTGGGGGCAGTCCTTAGGCCATGTAATGTATAGACTGAAAGGGACCATACTTGCAATACTGTTCACCCACGTTAGCATTGCTTGTGGCAGCATGGGGGGCACTTTGAGCATCAGATGACAGTTCATATTTGTTTATTTTGGTTGGTTGATGTCATCTGACTGTTTTCATGCCCAAAGCAGGGGCTGAAATGACCCCAGCCTGGCCTTGGCTGCCCGGGAAGGGCCTGGAGAGTGAGAAGTCCATTCTTCCAGGTAAAAGCCTCTCCTGGTGAGAAACGCTGAATTGCCGACAACCAGGGGAAATAACCACACTTGTCCTCGTAGTAATACCAGGTGAAACTGACTTGTGCACAAAAAGGAAACTTCTGGCCTTAGAAAATGGAGTCTGGGGTCAGATAGAAACTAACAAATGATGGGCCAAGAGGCATGTTCCTCCCTCCTGATTCTTCCACAGCTGGGCTGCTGTCCCTCTCCTCACTCCACAACCATCTGCTGGGGAGCAGTGGGGAGGGGCAAAGCATGGGACCAGCAACACAGGGCATGGTGCCCCACAGCAGCCGTTGGGGATGACAGCCCAATGCTTTCTCAGGTTTTCAGGAGAGGCAGGAAATCCCTGTCCTCCATTACACCTTCCCAAGGTGCACTGGGCTATACACAGCTATAGCTTGTCTGGGGCAGCTGCAGACCCCGTCAGCGAAACTCCACAGTACTCCAGACACTCCTGCCAGGAAGAATCGATCCTGGTTTGTTTTTTGCTATTTGATTCTTTCCTCTGCTTTAGACTGCTGGCCTCCCTCTCCCTTTGCAGGGGAGCGTGTGTGCACACGCACCTAGAGGAATCAGTATATTTCCACGTCTTTTCTGCATCGCTCTGCCCTGCTGCATGCCGGGAAGGGGAGTGTGGAAAACAGCGCTCATTTTATTTATTCATTTCCCCCTTTGGGAATAGGGCCCCATAGGGCCGCTTCAGCAGGAGGCGTGCAACCGGGTTCCGCCTGCTCTGAAAATATTGCCAGTGATCTCCCTGTCTGCAGAGGCTGGGCTTCTTTATTTCCCCTTCCCCACATGTCTCTTCTGAGTCTCTCAAGGAAGGCACTGGCCTGGGGCTCAAAGATGGGCTTCCCAGAAGCTCTATTCCTCTCTGGGGCCTGGGATCCACATGGGCAAGTCAGGCCTGGGTTTACTTGGAAGTGTCAGCCTGGGATATAAGTAAGGATCCAGGTGGAGGAGGAGGGGGGGCTTTATAGAGAGGACAACAGGGGCAAAGCTGGGCCCAGAGGCCCTTTCCTGCACACTCTGGTGTTGGCAGCATCTGTGCTGTGTCAGTTCCCTCCAGCCACAACCCACGAGGAAGTGGAGCGGGAGGTGGCAGCAGAGCTGCGATCAGAGGTGTGGCTGCTGGTGCGGGCTGTGGGGACAATGGCAGGATCTCCATGCTGGTTCGCTGCCCTTCTAGCTCCAACCCCCTCATGTAGATGGTGTGCCTGCTTGCCCAAGGGTCAGCGCTTTCCAATCCTACCTGCCACCTCTCCTGCCCACGCCAGCTGGGCCCAAGGTGACCCCACCCAGACTGGGCTGTGAGCAAGCTGCACTCCACACATGCTGCCGGCCAAGCACCCAACAAGACACTCGCTAAGGGAGTGAAGCAGGAGCCAGACCTTTCCTTTTGCCTCTGGCTGTTCCCAGCCTAGCTCTGTCCCCGAAGCCTGGAGCGACAGCAGCCACTGCAATGCCTACAAATGGGAGGCAGAGCTGAGGGGACCAGCTCCTTCAAAATCCAATGCTGCCCTGGGAAGCAGACAAACTACGGAGCCCCGCTCGGAGGCTGAACATTTGAAATGAAGTCTGGAGTTCCCCGCAGCAATGCTGTGCAGCAGGGACTTCTGGGGGATGCCCAGCTGCTGGGGACGCAGAAAACGGGAGGGAACTACAGAGGACGGGGTGTTCTCTTATTGCCAGTGATTGACAGATTGGCTCTGCCTCCAAGATTCAAGCAGACTGAAGTACCCTTCTTAATGGATTTGGACCTTAGCAGGAAGAAGAAAAGTAAATTCCCCTCTCTCCATTGAGAGCATCCCTCTCCTACCTGTGCCCCAGCTCTGTGAGAACTGTCAGTCTTCGCTCCAGTATCCAGGGTTCTCACCACGTTCCAGACTGCCTGTCAAGGCTGAGGCCTGGTCTACACTACAGAGTTAGGTCGACGTAAGGCAGCTTACGTCGACCTAACTATGGAAGTGTCTACACTAGAATGGTGCTCCCACTGATGTAAGTCGCCCACGACAGCGACCTAAAAGCTCCACCTCTGTGACAGGCGTAGCGCTTAGGTCAATGCAGTTAGGGTGACGCAGTGTCTGTGTTACTTACATCGCCTGTTGGCTGACAGTCCAGAGCCTGGCCACGGGGGCTGACAGTCCAGAGCCCTGCTGCTACCTCCCGGTGAGGGACTGGGGGGGCGAGGGGAGGAAAGCTTGAACCCGGCTGCAGCCCAGGCTCGGGCTCTCCTCACGCCCCCCGAAATCCCTGACTAGGAGGTGGCTGGGCTTGGACTCTCCTCGCCCCCAACTCAATCCCTCACTGGGAGTCGTCTGTGGGGTTCCTGGCTGTCAGCCCTGGCACTGGGGCTCAAAGCGGGAGCCCCACCCCACCCCCAGGGCTGACAGCCTGAGCTGTGAGCCCAGCACTGGGCTCATTTCACAGCAGGGAGCCTACCAGCAGTGAATCTGACATTCTTGTCAGTTTCATGGCTGCTATTAGTTCACATTTTGTCTGGGCTCCAGCTGTCAGCCCCAGAACTGGGGAGGTCTCTAGCTGTGAGCCCTGCCTGGGCTGACAGCCTGAGCCAGAGAGGAAATGGGACATAGCAGCAGCCGTGAAACTGACACGAATATCAATTTCAGGGCTGGTAGGCTCCCTGCTGTGACACGGAGCCCAGCGCCTGGCTAACAGCTAGGGCTGTCAGGCCTGGGGTGGGGGAACTCTAGCTATAAGCCCTGCACGGCTGTCAGTGCCCCACAATGCACCACTTGGTCAGTGCAAGCGTTCCTGGTGAGGACACGCACCACTGGCAGAAGGAGGGGAGCGTGGACACCAACAGCTGATTTCATTACTGCCGTGGCTGTGGACCTAATTTTGTAGTGTAGACAAGCCCTGAGCAAGGTGTGCTAATTGCGGGGGTTCTTTTGTGATGGACACACCCATCCACTGCCTATCAATGGGGACTGACAGTGCAGCCTGGATAATTAACTGAACACCCCGCTATTGCGTCAAAGTCTCCATATCCCATTAGCAGACCCCCCCACCCCACCCCAAGCCATCCAGACCCCTGATCCACCAGGGTGCAATGGAGCTCGTACAGCTCAGAGCCTGGGGAAATCTGGCACTTCAGAGAGCACACAGCTTCGAAGACAGGAACAAAAACCCAGCCAGTCTTTACCCAGCGAGATCACAGCCTCGTAATTGCCCTTCATGATGTGCCTGTAAAGCTCCTTCTGCCATTCGTCCAAGCTCTTCCACTCCTGCTCCGAGAAATTAAACGAGTTGTTGTTGAATGTCACTGGGACCTGCAATGACAAGGGTGATACACTCAACACCTTCTGCTCCCTGTCTACATGCCACCCCTTGTTTCCTCCAACACCCCATTCTGCCCTGTCTTCTCCCTCGGTCGCCATATCCTCTTCTGGATTTTACTGCTCCTCCTCATTCCCACCTGCTGCTTCCCAAGATTGGGTCTGGCTCCCGTCAGCTGTACACAGCTGAAATCCATTCCCCACTGAAGTCTGTGACAAAACTCCCATCGACTTCACTGGGGCCAGGATTTCACCTCATGAGTCCTCGCCTCTTCCTACAGCCGAAGCCTTCTGTAGGATTTCCATCGCAGACCCTTTGGACAGCCGGCTGCCTGCTTCATCCTTTAGTTGCGTCTATTGCAATTGACCCCTGATCCTGCAAAGGGAGGGGCATGAGCAGCCCCTGGGACGCATGCAGAGCCCCCCAAACTGCAGACGCTGCAGGAGCAAAGGGTCAGCCCACACGGATCTGACTGCAGGAGCAGCACCTCAGATTGTAAGTCGCTCAGAGCAGCGGCGTGTCTTGCCTATGTGCTGTCAAACGCCATGCATACACCAGACACTATGTCTGCTGAGCTGCCTCGGGCACTTTGCACAATCAGTATCCAAAAAAAGATACTTTAGTTGCAAAGTCCTGTTCCAATTGGCTGAGTTGGCGTCTCTGGGGAGGTCACACCCTGCATTTAAATCCCCCATTAAATACAGCTATGCCATTGCTGGCCACACTGTTACATTTACATTAGAATTCTCCATACAACCAACTACATGAGTCAGATGGGCACAGGAGAGGAAAAGAAACACTGTTGGTTTTCTCTCCGTGGCTGGTTAATGGTTCATTAGCCTCTTCCCTTTCTCAAATTGTTTGTCACGTGATTACTGAAAGCCCCCCCCTGAGCTAAGAGGTCAAATTTCCAAAGGAAGCAACGTTAGAAGCAGAATCCATATATCTTGGAAACGATGGGACAAAGGGAGGCTGCAGAGCAGGTGAGCAGCAAGAATGGGGATGGGAAAACCCGTAGTGTGACTCCCTTAAAACAAATCTACTTGCGCAGAACATTCTGAGTGTACAAAACGCCCCTTCAGTGTCTGGTACAGGGGCGTTTACATCCCCTCAGCACCAGCTGGGACCTTGTTACCTTGGGGACTTCTCCATTAGCGCCTGGGGGGAGTCTCAGGATCCAGAAGTTCCTGTTCTTCAGCAGGTTCTCCATGTTCTCCAGCCTCCTCTGCAGTTGCCCGTACTCCTGGATCAGAGTTCCCAGCGCCGTCCACTTACTCTCCAGCTGGTTCCCAAACTCCACCGCTGTCTTCTCACAACCGACTAGCTTCGTTTCTGCCATCCTCATTCTTCCCTCCAGATTCATCAGTTGTGCTGCCTGAACCTCTACCTTCCTGTCCACAGCCTGGATTTCTGCCACGACCGTAAGGGAAATCTCTGCTGTCTGAAGATCTGCATCGTCCATAGAAGTTGGTTCGGGGACAGCAAGAGGCTGTTCAAGTGACAGGTCCTGGGACTCCATGTCCCATTCAAGAGCCTGTTTGCAATGACAGATATTGGAAAGGGGGGTCACGTTCCCAAGTAGCAGAGTCAGTCACAAAGAGAAACAACAAACGAGCCACATGCCACAGCCTGCTGGGAGCTGCCTGAGTCGGGATCTTTATTACTAGCGGGTCACATGAAAGATGCAGCAATGAGAATGTTACACTTGAAATCCAATCAAACATGCATTAAAAGTCATTTCAGTTCCTCTCTCTGGCCCTGAGACCCCACCAATGTTTGTGTTTTGACAGTTGTATTTTTGGTATTTTCCTTTCTCCCCCGGTGCTGTGTGAAAGCCTCCTCACCCCCAACAATAGGGGACCAGACCACCCGCACCGAGACAACAGAACTGAGTAGACACAAAGGGCTGTCAAAGGCACAAAGCAAATAACTGGGGGGGGGGGGGAACCCGAACCGACCCAATTTCCCCTTCTCTAATCAGTGACTTGTAAGAACATTTGGCATCCCATGTAAGGACAGCGGGTAAGAGCTTTCCAGCCAGACGGAGCCCTTCGGGGCCTTGTGCCCTAGAGGTTTCTGTGCCCCAGCAGGTCTCTGGGCTAAGAGGCGGTGGGAGCAGCCCTGGGCCGAGCATCGGCTGCCATAGAAACACACAAGGGTGTGTGTGTGT